GGAATAAATTTTCGATACGATGCGTCATATGATGATCGGAGTGCATACGAAACTACAGTCGCGAATGCTTTTCTAAAGAACGATGCTTCGGTTCTTTAAAATAGCACCGTGATTTTGCACCGTGACTTCTACGAATTGCAGACGGTCAACAAGTTCGTTTTCTTTTTTTTTTTTTTTTTTTTTCTCAGTTATCGGCCAGTTCGTAGAAGTTATCGGGAACAAACGTTGGTAAACCGACCGGATGCCGGAAATCTCTTTGTCGAAGAATCGTAAAAAGTTTCTAAGGATTCTCAAGGCGATCGAGATAGAGTACAACGGACGTAACTCTGTAATACGATTTCGTGTGATCGAAAATACATTGCGCATACCTTGGACGTTATTTTAAAGATGGACAGTGGTTTGAGAAACCGGCGATAACGAATGGTCGCCGCACCTTGCACGACACCGGATCCTTGCGAGCAGATCTCACGATACAGGCTGGTCCTCTCATAAAAATCCGCCCTGGCGAAGTCCAGCTCGCGGAGATATCTCGCATTGTTCATGTGATAGAGCAGCGTGTCCACGTCCGTGGTGATGCAGATACCTATGGAAAGACAAACATTAGTACAGCCGTGAGAGTATATAGAATTAGATAAACGACGTGAGCGCCGTTTACGCATTCATTTATCATGTATGTTCCAAGGATAAAAAAAAATGATGAATTAGTTAGAGGAACATGATTGTCGAAGAACAGAGTGACATAGCCAAATAATTGCGTCCAAGCGTTATAATTCTCAATTATAAAACAAAATAATTAAAAATGCACGATTTCATTTGATTATTCCTATAATTGATAATAAGCGATACGAGATATAAACAGAGTAATTTAAAAAACAAGAAGATTCAAAGAAACGGAGTCGTATTTACGTAAATGTGAAACAGAAAGAGAGAGAGAGATAGATAGATAGATAGAGGAGATATGTTTCCTTATTCGCTGCAAGAATAGAAAACTATTTTTTGCAACATATCGGCGTGTTAGTTGGAGAATTTAAATATTCCTTATTGATCTTGCATATCATGTAACGCCATAACGAAAGCGTACGTTCTTTTTGTAGATAATCCGGATCCGGATCTGAAAAGCAGACTGCCGCGTAGCATGAGACTAGCTACTGAAACAACAAAAATCGGCGCACACGGCGATTTCAAATTATGCTGCAAGATACCCCGTGTTCTACATGTCGATTTGTTGGTCCAGTTTTGGTAGAATTTTGCAGCACTGTGCTGCACAATCAATACTCGTACGTACGGATTTGCGACACGAGCAACCGACAAGCCAACAGATCGCGCATGGTAGGTCAAGGTTTGCCAGAATGAGCGCAAGATAAGTCAGTAAATTGTAAGGATTCTGGAGTTACGTAGCGGTTCGTGGTGCATAGAATGCATTTTCATGGACTCTCTATGTTCTTCTTGGTTACGTGCTATCGATAATATTAGCTTGAACAACAGCAACATCGCGATCACATCAGATTCAATGCCGAATCGTTAATTAATGTTATTTCTGCTCCAGGGTTATAAAGCGATCAACGTACCGTAGACGGTAGTCTCGTCGAGGATGTGTACCCTTTTCTTGCAGAAACGTGCGAGAAACACGGTTAAGAACATACGCAGGAAATAGTGAACTTCTACTAGGCTGTAGAGCAGCACGATAGCCCCGAATACACCAGTCAATATCCAGCAGGTTATCATCCTGATCAAACTGGTGCGACTTCGCACGTCGTCCTCGAAATTGAACACCAGAAGTACGATGCCCGCCCGCGTGGTCAGGTTTTGGAATTCCTCCACCGTTGAAAAGCCACGCTCCACCTTATCGATTCGCCGACGATACTGACGACTGCGTTTCCTGGCTCGTTTCTCGCCGATAGGAAAGCACCGAGTTGCTCCATTAACATGTCAAAGGATCGTGGATCGACTGACGCACCATGACGATCAATCTTATTTTAAAATACGTCGGGACATGTTGGACGACCGTTGAACGCATCAGCAGACAATGCAGCCTACGTCCAGCGTTTTTATACACCGAGCACTTTGGATCTGAAATGTCAGAAGCAACACCATTTAAAACGCTCAAGGAACGCAAAAACTATTGAAAATCATGCTTTCACAGACTGTCCATGCTTTTCATTGTAATCGTGTAGACGGAAAATTCCACTCGAGTTGCGCGACGCTTTTAACGTCATGAAGCAAACGCTCGATAATGAGAGACAAGAGCAAGACAACAATTAGCGTTAGATGGTATCTCTTTCCCAATAACGATCAATCTCTCGCAGAAGAATTCAGAAGAATTCTTACACTCACTACTCGACAGCATGAATAAATATTGAGAGTATAATCGGTATAATCGCGCGGCAAGTTTCTGCCAAACTGGCTCAGCGGATCGTTGACGAATAAGCGGCACATTAAAAATAGGCATTCGATGAATCGCGCGCGTCTTGCAACGTTGCTGATTGCCGTACGCACCGACGAACAAACGAAATGATGACGAATCGCGGGCAAGCAACGAGAGATATCGTGCAGTAGCAGCTGATGTAACATTTGCAAAAGTAGAATTCCTGGCAGAAAGTATATTACCATGGACAACAATTCAAAATTCCCAGCGTAGGCTACTTTCGATACTTTCCCTCTGAGGAAGTTGCGCGATTGTCACTCGAGGCACGCTCCGAGTTGGCCGAGTTCTTCCAAAAAAAATCGTCCCGAAACTTGGATCCTCCCGACCAGATTCACGACGCGTTACTGCCGCATTGCTTCGGAACTCGGAGGTGTTTTCTCCACGGGTGACAAAATGTTTCCCTCTATCGTGAGATTCTTATCTGCTCTCGGATCGGTATTCGAGCGGTCGTTAGAAGCATATCGACCTACCTAGAGGCAGTCTGTCAGGCAGAACCGCAGAGGACTTGCGACAGTTGTCCTGTGCTGGCTATTCACCACAATACGGATCCACACATGCTTGTGTGTCTATTTATATGCGCTCGCGCATGGAGAACACGTACACGGCTACAGGACGAAGAAATATGTATGCGCTCGTGGCGACGACATTTCACAAACTGCTGATCAACGCGTTCCCGGGTTCGATGTCGTGGCCACCGTCACAGGCGTCGGAACGTCCCTTTCCAGAACTCGCCGTCGCATCTGCGCCGAGAACTTCCAACCATGAAGCCGATACCTAGTGGGAGGCGAAACATTGCTGCGCGTCGACGTTCTCGTTGCCGCGTCTTTCTTAATAATGGGAAAAAACCGAATTTCAATCGTGGGCTGTGTTTCACGCCGGGCCTTCGCTACTTTGCTCGTGTCTTTGCCATTACGGGCAACAGCCGAAAACGATAGCGCAAACCGGTTTGTTGAAACGTCTTCTTTCTTTTTTTCTAAATTTATTCAAATGGCTGGGCATTGGGATCCTCGAATGAATTTCGGGCTGTGCCAATCTATCGAACTCGGAGAATTTAACTGTTTTGCTGATTTAGAGACGAACATCGCTTTTAACGATTATTACATTACCCTTCGGAACTGCAAATTCTGGAATAATGAAGTTCCTTCTCTTTGTTATTTTGAATTTCAACCACGTTTAAAAACACGGTTGTTGCAATGGCATAAAAATGAATAAAATATCAGTATTGATTCGTTATTGAAATTTTAAATAATACAAATACTTGAATGCAGGAAAAGATTGTAAACGTAAACAAAAAAATTTATGCCGATGTATTGACATTGAATTGAAACCGGTTAGTGAGACAACGATAAAGAGAAGAAATACTAGAAATCATAAATCTTCTTTTTAAAACATTGTATACTTAAATGTTTCCCTAAACAAAAATTGTCACTCGTAAATTGAATTTTAAATCTTTGAAAGGAAAATTTTTTTTTTTTTGCTATACTTTTTTTCAGTGAATTGTTTTTTCTTTTCACTTAATTTCATAAGGAGCTCATTTGGCCACCTTGTGTGACTTCACCTTACGAAACCAATGTGTAGTATGTGTAATTGATACGGAGGAGAAGAGCAAGCAAAGCTTCGTCAAACGTTGTTTGAAGGCGGGGCATGCACAAGCAATACGATGTTACGTCGAAAAGGCCCTGGTCAGGAAATGCTTTCCTGCTGATGTTTTATGGAAAACGCGTGATCCGCGAATGAGCAACCACGAAATCGGCACGAATCACGAGCGAATCAATAAATAAGTCACGCACGACGTGGGAATTTTAGACGTCGTAAAATTTCTATTAGCCTACCGGAAGTCTCACTAAACCATTACATTCCAAATTGTGTTCGCAAAGACAAACGAAAAAGCAATTCGAAAAGCGAACAACGTGTAGTTCTTTCTTTATATATATATATATATATATAAATTTAATATATACACGTATAGAATCAATTGATAAGTTGTTTATTTTTAAAAAATAAAGAGATTCATTTGGTATTCTATTTTGCAAGAAATATAGAAAAAAATAAAAAGCTACCATTTTCACGCTAGAATATTCTTCGATGTTCAGCCATTGCTTGCTACATAGAAAAAAAGTCTGCAACAAATGGTTGATCTTCACTTGTATATCGAGTTAACGGCAGATCGTAGGGAATAGGAAAAACTGGAACACCGTCTTCTTCTTCTTTGATAGGAAATGTAGTTGAACCAATCTATAAAATGATAATGTACACTTTAAACATTTCTGTTTATAAAGGATATACGAATATGTACTCTTACGTACAACGAAGTGTGGAATAAATACAACGCCTGCTTCGTAATTCATAATATAAAAACTCTTTCCGTCCATTCCCCATGCAGCTTTGCTCAAATTAGCACTGGTAAGTACGAACCAAGGAATCTTTTTGTAATCGGGCGAAATTCTTGTGTAACTTTTTATATGAGGTATTGCTTTATCCCTAGCGGTTCGTGTAGCTTTCCATTGGCTAAACAAATTTTACGACATATATATACACATACACATGTACAAAAAGTAAATAAAAATTAAGAACTTACCACATATAAGACATTATCCATTCTTGTTTAGAATGTAATTGAAGACTGTAATTTAAACAAGACGATCCAACTCGGCAATCAAAACTACGTTTATAATTTTCCAAAGATGGATAAATGAATTGTAAGTTTGGAAGACTTTTCAAACCAATAGGATTTTCCTTTGACATTGAGGATGTTATATCTTTCAGTAACCAACTTTCATAGTTGGGTCCTAAGCTACCAATGCTCGAACTTTGAGCAACTAACGTCCACTGTGGTGCATCAGGAGGCAACTTGGCATATTTTGAAAGAATGAAACCCAGTTTCCTATGTCCCCAAAAGTCATATTCAACATCTGTGTGTCTTCCAGGGACAGACGCCAAAAAGAATACATTTACTGAAGAAAAATCTGCTCTTCTTACAACGGAAATCCATTCTGTTAAAACTGGCACTCTATATTTGTTTAAATAACGTTCTAAATCCTTCTTGAAGCCTGTTGGTGATTCTCCATCGCCGGGATTTGCAGATTCTGGTAATGGCGGGAGATGTGGTGAAATCCAAACTCTGAATAACAAAATTAAAGCAACCGTTTATGCATTACTATCTTCCTTCTGAAACGTAAAAGCGTAAAGTAACTTCTAAAATTTGACAGACCCTTGTGTTCTATTCTCCCAATCATCCGAGTATAAATTTGCAGTGGATACTACCACCCGTATTCCATTATCTTTGTACTTCAGAATCATAACTTTAGTATGATGACAACCAAACTTTGTTGGCATGAATATAGGTATCATAGTAATATTCAAACTTAATTTTTCCTCGTCCACTCTATCTCCAAATAAAATAAACATATCTGTGCGTTGTCCAGCCAATAAATACTGAAGGCACAGCCATCCAACGTCAACTACAAAATTAATATGCAAGCTTTTGTCAATTTCTCCTAAACTAATGTCCAAGATTTCAGGAAACGTTATGGAAGTTGGTTGATCATATGTTTCTTTTGATTTTTCAATTCTTGTAAAAAATAAATGATATGGCGCTGATAGAGCATACTTCAAACTAAAATTGCCCGGTTGAACCACTGATACTTGAAATCCTTGCTTTTTCATCATTTTAATCGCTCGATCCCTCACTTCCTTCCTAGATTTTGCAGTATTGCACGATTCATAAGAATCTATCAAAGATGTGCCTTTTGAAAAACTTGAACTTTCTGCATGTTCTGAGCTTTTATTTGTATCTTGAGTGCAATCTTCAACTTTCTCGTATTTGCTATGACTTAATTTTGATCTTTTCTGTTTTCTTTCGCCATTAGCAAAATCACTACTATCTGTCTTTTCCTTTACATTAAAATTACCTAATTCTTCTTTCATTTTAGAATCTTTATTCTGATCTACATCACTTTTTTCATTAGAAGATTTAAAAAGTGCCTCTGCTTCTTCATCCATAACTTTCAACTTGTCTTCTCTTCTTTGAGCCATTATTTGTTTATGTTTTTCCACTTTATCTTTTAATGTTTTAGAAGTAGACTTATCTTTGCTGGAACTCATATTATTTACTCTGGAATTTAACACTTTGATTGAACTGGCTTCTTTGTCTTTTTCTTTTCTAAATAACATCTGTAAGATCTTCAATTGATCTCTTAAAAGAGATTCATCGGAACAGACAAAGTCAAGTTCTTTAGGTATCTGTATTTCACCTTCCAATTGATTTATTACGATTTTCTCCACTGAAATAAAACATATGTTCCTTTATCACAGTTGAATGATCTTCAAATGCAATTAATAATAATATAATACTTACAGTGCGGATGTGACATTTCGTTGAAATGAATTGGATTTTTGCGATAACACTTTTCCATATAAGGGCATTGTTTCTTGACTGAAACTTGCACAAAACAGTGGAACTTGTTAAACTGTTTAAAATTAAACCTTAACCTTAAAATCGATTGGCACTTACTTACCATTGTTCACGGAAGTTGTTGCCATTTCGTGCTATTTAATTTGTGACCAAGATAGTACAAAGGAGTTATTCTTGGCAATTATATAAGACAATTATCCACACCACTATTAAAATTTATTTCGAATTCGACAAACAGCGGTTTCAATCTCCAGAGGAGGAGCAGATGGCGCTGTAATCGACATATCGCAAGTCAAGTTCAAATCGAAATTAGTCTCGGTCTAAACTTCCTGACGGTTGCGTGTCTTAAAATGTGTGTTTTCTAAAAAAAAAAGAAAAAAAGAAAATGTGAAAAATAATCGAATATCATCATTTACATTATCGTTTACATTACATTCACTGGTTTGTGTCAAACTGAAGTATTGCGAATATCCAGCACTATTCAATCAATTTTCATTGTAATATAACAATGTGCTATAATGAATTTCAGCGAGCGTCAAATTTATTATGTTAATCAAAATGGAGGAAACATATTCAAAACGATCACTGATTGGCAATACTTCGTACAATCAACCTTCAATTAACGCTAAGAAGATAGTAAATATCATCGGTGGGAAAGTAGAAAACGACAAAAGGTAATTAAGACGTTCATTTAAGTTAGATATATTATATCAGATATTATTGGCACCGGGTATGAGGTAATAAAAAGGACTCTCGTTAGAAAACGATTTACATCAACCGGCACTAATAATTTTCAAACGCCATGTTGAGAAACAGTGCGACCTCGAACGCGATACGAGAGATTAGAAAGCGTATATCTTAATAAGACGATCGAAGGGAAGCGAGCCGTGAAAGAGGACGACAGACGAAGTTGACGGGGGGGGGGGGGGGGGGGAAACGATTAAGAGCGTCTCGACGCGTAACAGCGCGTCTTTACCACCGACGTCGAGCACCAGAGTTAAGTTTCAACGAGGAACTTGCCGACCGCATCTCAGTGCACTCGACGAGCTCGGCGAGCGCCTCTTGGGAATGAATTGCATTTCCACGACGCATTTCCATTTTTCCAAGAACAATTAGTCGGCCGTGGAAAGAATTGGGATAGCGGTCTTGAAAATCGGCCTGCTTAATATGCATGCGCATAATTTACCAGGCCGCTACCGCTATTGGATTGATTAAATTAAAATCGCCGCCTTTCAACCGACGTCCCCTTGCGCGAAGAAGCCTTGTCTTGGAACATTATTAGAGAAACAAAAACACGCGAGTCAGGAAACGTCGACAATTTGCATCATTTGATTAAAAAAACGGGGGTGGAGGAACGAGAAACTTTATCGAAGGAAATTGTCCTCTTTCGACGAACGTTGAGATTGATTTCTTTCTTGCACGTACACCTCGTATAAAATTCTTTTGAACGAATTAACTTTCGAGTTTAAACTTTTAAATGTTTTCCGCTTCATCTGCTTTCCTTTTATTCAAGATTATATACTGTGTTCAAGATAGTTTGTGATATAAAGTGCATGGAATACGATATGATAGTGTAGATTATCGTAGAAGCTGTTGAAGCTTCAAATTAGTCGTATACTTTATCCAAAGTAAGTAAGTAGCTTCGTCCGGAATAACTTACAAATTCTCGAACGACGATACGACGTTCACGGCGATAAATCTAATAAGCGAAACGGGAAACGTCTCCGGCATCAAAATATACAGGCTATTCGCAATTCACTCGGCGAAAACGAGCAGGCAGTTCAGCGTAATTAACAGCTTGCTCCTTTAGTCGGGATTGTTTCTGAAAACGTTTGTTCCTCAGATTATGGCTCGATCGAGTGAAGAGTAAGTAACTGGAAGGCGCTTCGTCGCCGACAAGTCGAATCGATTCCCCGTCGAACATTCTATATTCGTAGACGATATACTATTTAATACTTGCATGCGAGTTTCACAACTTTTGCAGAATGGATATTTCACGAAATTTCATTCTGAACGCGGATGGTTCTCTTTTCTTAAGAGCGCAGATGTAATCAAGTAGATGTAATTGACGAATCAACGAATGAGGATGATAGCAACAATCTAAAGTCTTTCCTCCATATCGTCGCAACTTCGATGCAAATCGTCCAAGTTTACACGTTTGACAATATCCAGCTTTATATACGCATGTGGATGAGGCAGTTATAATTCTTGTCTCGGTCATTTGTTTCTCGCATGTATCTATTTATTGTTCATTTCGTTCGTCTAGTGTAGACATTAACAGACAAGAGGTCAGCACCCTTGGAACAACCATGAGAGACGAATGATTCTCTCTCGCGACAAGTGTGCCGAACGTGTCGCGACCTCAGTAAATAACAATAGAGAGCTACGTCGAATGTCAGAAGGCAAAGCTAGAGGCGAACAACGGAGCGACCGAAAAGTGGTATCCGTCAGGCTTGCAGGATGCGAAGAGAGGGGTGGGAGAGATGCCGAGCGTCGAGACGCCTCGGTCCGCTCAGTCACCGCCCAGACCGCGCCACGAGCGATGCATCCGTCGTGACTTCCGCGTGCTCACGCCGGATCTCGTGTCAGTGACTTTCGTTCCCTTTAATTATCCCTTAATTCATTCGGCCCACCCTCTCTCTCTCTCTCTCTCTCTCTCTCT